AAATTCAAACGAGATCTCGGCAAGCGGGCCAGCTCGCTTTCTCATATGAACACAATGCAAAATTTTATAGGAAAATAGATAGGCGGCGAGATCATCGGTAAGCGAGACGTCCCGGTAAGCGGGATCATATGAACAGGCCCTAAGTGGGAAAGTTGCATGTTATGGTATTATCTATATTGCCTATTTTTAAACTATCATCTACGCGACTAAGTTTTCGACTTTTATACAAGAAATATCATGCCCGCTTTGTAGCAACTATTTTATTTAAAAAATCAAATGTGAGAAGCACATTAGTCTTTACAACTGGCTATATCGTCATTATGCAGTTCATCGGTTGAATGGTTCAGTGAAATGTGCCGTGACGCAATTCAAAATCAGTTCGTCCAATTATCCATTCAAATGCTAAGATAGTTTCTTACCTCCCATGTTGCCTTTTCAAACCAGGTACTGTAAGTAAACTGTGGGAGATATTTAGCAATGATAAATGAACATTGTATCATGTAAAATATTTCAATTGACAACACTTCATCGAGCGAGACGTATAACTTGAACCCTTTCATCGTTTTAATCATTGAACTGAAACTACCATGTCTTCCATAGTGACAAGCATCTTGAGCTCAACCGTAGGCTTGCTGTGGAACAAGGCTCGTGATTCGACTGCTGCTATACTTCAAGGCGGCGAAGTTCCAGATGAAAACATTCGAGAGATTGTCGTGAGCGAGTTAAACGACATCAAGACGAACCTTCATGGTCTCTTGCGCAACAAAGACCTGCTTAGCAGCTACAAGTTCCTACAAGAAGGAGTAGATTTACTCAATGTTTCGCTGAATAAATTGAAGCTCGGACAGTCTAGGATCTTAAACGAAGCCTTAGAGCTTTCTCGCGCCATGGGAAAGTTGAAAATCAATTCGAATAAAGAGTTTGAATCCACTAAAGAACGATTCAAAGACGCCCATAAGACAGCGACAGTAGATAACCCCCCCCATATACTGTCGGAAGTAATTAGTATTCAAGCGAATGTATATATGACGTCATCAGGAGAGTACGTCTAGGCGTTCGTACTTAGCGTGCGTCCAAGCGTTCGTACTTAGCGTTCGTACTTAGCGTGCGTGCAAGCGTTCGTACTTAGCGTTCGTACTTAGTGTACGTCTGAGCGTTCGTACTTTAATAGTGATTAAATTTAATGTGTAAATGTGTGTATATTATGCCCTTACGATACTTATGCGAGCTTCGAATAGTAATGAGGTATAATTCCCGAGAAAATAGAGGACAGCAGTTTGTTTTATTCAAGTTCACATAGTATTACGACAATTTAAATGTTTCTTTTAATAAGAAAGCCAACTGAACTTATTTATTCTTATAATCAACTCTCTACTAGCATGAGTACAATGATTAATCATCAGAAAGTTTATATTCCACATATATTTTACGATAACTCTTCTGGTACGAAAGATTACATTGTAAAGCGGCAAGGATAATTTTTATCTTGCCCAACGACATGGCGTCAAGTGAAGTACTTAAACATGACCACTGGTCATCATTTTTTTACATATTATAAACTAGATACCTTTGTGCTGTGTTGTGGAATTTTGTACATTATAATGAACAGGGAGTAGAACATCATCGACTTAAATATTTAAAAGAACAGTTACGTTTAAGTAGCTACTTTATAGATTTAAGTTCGATGTTGCCTCTGTCTCAACTGTGCGGTTCAGGCAAAGCACAGTGACTATGTATATATTTAATTTAATTAGTACATGTACATCTAATATTTCATTTTCATAGTTAACTCATAGATATATAGTTATATACACGATCCCACAAGCTTGCAGCTTTAAACATTATCGTGTTAAAATAAAGATTATCTATCTATCTATCTATCTATCTATCTATCTATCTATCTATCTATCTATCTATCTATCTATCTATCTATCTATCTATCTATCTATCTATCTAACAGTTTTGTACGTACAATTTAGTACTGAACAATTTCGTACCAACAGAAACGTGCGTACGCTTTGTGTTAATCCATGTATTAATTGATGCATGTAGTCAACCAATGCAGTATCTTTGGCAATAATATTTTGCTCTTAAAATCAGTAGGAAAACGTGCATGTTGCCCCCATTATCTCTCTCTTTTGAACACGCAGCGAAACATTTTAAAAACTTTGGGAAAGATCATAAAGCGACTCTTGATTTCTTGAGGCGGACTTCAAGCTCTTGGCGATAAATAAATTTGTTTCAAATTTCCTGTCTGTTTATGCCCCCGCGCAGTGTGGCGTCGCACGGAAAGGTCGTACGAATTTAAGGTCGTACGCGGACGAACATGATGTGCGCTTGATTCAGCTCACTTTACACTACGTTTTCGGGGACCACTGTACACTAGGTTTATCGTCAATAAACAGACGATGTCGTGACCAGTGCAAACGAAGTCCTCGCTGAGAGTCAGTACCGGTGTAAAGTGTGCAAAAATCAGGTATAGTGTATTCTTTGCCGAAAATGATTTCTCCCCATTCGATAAAGTTTTATTTTAGCTTACTTCTCTGTGAAATACACGAGATCTGATTACTTTTTTTTTTCTCTTCTATTTGAAATATTTAATTACTAATTAGCGAGTTGAAATGAGCCATGATATTTATTATATGCAAATGTTTTAAGTCAAACATCCCATGCACACGAAACACACACGCACATTTTGTCAGCCGTTGGCAATATTAAGGGTGATATCGTCGCATTTAGCTTACTTCTCTGTCAAATAAATGAGATTTGATTAATTTATCGTTTTTCATTGCTTTGCTTCTTTATGAAATACACGGGATTTGATTAATTTTTATAGCTCAGTTTGAGATATTGAACTAGCGAGCTGAGATGAGCCATTATAGTTGTTATATGCAAATGTTTTATGTCAAACTATGTTGAGGTTAATAATGCTAAACATACGCCTATTGCGATAGGTATGAGTGCATGGGTGAGAGTGATTGTCTTATGTTATCGTATGAGGAGAGATCGCAGATGTATGATTTGGAAACCA